ATCCGCACCATGTGTATTTCTTGGTTACTCATCCTCTAAATCAGCTTATAAATGTTATGAACCACACACAAAAAAATTGTATCACTCAAGACATGTGGAGTTTATTTCAACTCAGTTCCCATATCATGCTAAAACTCCCCTGGAATCTCTACCGAGCCCAGATTAGTTCCTAACACCACCATCTGACCCGTCTCCTATCCCGACCTCCGACCCTTCTCCTCAAATATTTATCCCCATACATCCCCTTGATCCGTTACCTGATCCCACTTTACCGCAACCTGCTCACCCGGAATCGACATCCCCACAAACTGCCTCCCCACCACCATCACCCCAAATTGAAGCCTCATCACCTCCGTCACCTGTTATTAATCCCACTCCATCTCCACCACACCCTCCCACCACTAGACATCGCAAAGCAAACTCCAAATATTTCAACCCCTCATTTGTTAACACCACAACCTTACATCCGATTCCCACAACCATTGAACCTAATACACACACTCAAGCTTTAAAAGATCCAAAATGGCGGGACGCAATGGATCAAGAGTTTAATGCCCTTATACAAAACGGAACATGGGAACTTGTTCCAAAAACCAATCACCCCCAATTGGTTGTAAATGGATTTTCCGATTCAAACGAAATCCCAATGGCACCATATCCAAATACAAAGCTCGTCTTGTAGCTAAAAGTTTTCTTCAACAATACAGGAAAGACTACTTTGATACATTCAGCCCGATCACTAAACCAGTAACTATTCATGTTGTTCTCTCCATAGCACTCTCTCATAACTGGCCTCTCTGTCAATTAGATGTCAATAATGCATTTCTTCATGGCACCCTCCATGAAGAGGTCTTCATGTCTCAGCCACCGGGTTTCACTCATCCTGGATTCCCATCCCATATTTGCAAATTATAAAAAATTGTTGTATGGCCTAAAACAGGCTCCAAGAGCATGGTACCTTGAACTCACCTCCTTACTTGTTTCCAATGGTTACCGAAAATCTAGAGTTGATCCCTCTCTTTTTATCTACCACTCAAATGGTATCCTCAGTTACCTTCTAGTATATGTTGATGATTTTGTACTCACGGTAACAACAATTCATTCTTAGACTCCTTTGTTTCCTCTCTAGCAAAATGGTTTTCAATCAAGGACCTTGGTCCTCTACATCACTTTCTAGGAGTTGAAGTAATTCCTGTCTCCTCTGGTCTGTTTTTATCCCAACATCGTCATATCCATGATTTACTTGAACAATTTCACATGGATGGTGCTAAAGAAGTTACTACTTCGCTGAACTCCTTAGTTTCTCTCACCTTGCATGACGGGTCTGCCAGCACAGATCCAACACCATACCGAAAGCTAGTTGGTTCACTTCAATACTTGGCATTCAATCGACCCGACATATCATTTGCAGTCAACAAGCTGTCACAGTTCATGCATGCACCAACTGAGACGCACTGGCAGTCATTAAAACGTATACTACGGTATCTTAAAGGTACTATTCATCATGGGCTTTATTTGCACAAGACCCATTCACATTCCCTCACTGCATTCTCGGATTCTGACTGGGGAGGAATTGAAAATGGGGGTCACTCAACTACTGCATACTTGCTATTTCTTGGTCCCAATATCATCTCTTGGAGATCATCAAGACAAAAGTCAGTTTCTCGGTCCTCCACGGAGGTGGAATACAAAGCGCTAGCCAATGCTGCATCGGAAGTTATGTGGGTACAAAATCTTCTCAGTGAACTCCGTATTAAATCCTCATCAGCACCCACTCTTTACTGCGATAACACAGGTGCTACATACTCATGTGCAAATCCAGTTTACCACTCTCAGATGAAACATATTGCACTTGATTATCATTTTGTTCGGGAAAAAGTACAAGATGGCTCTCTCATTGTCAGACACGTTAACTCATTTGATCAGCTAGCAGATGCTCTTACCAAACCACTTTCACGCGGTCCATTTTAGAGACTACATTCCAAGATTGGCGTATTCGATGGATCCTCCATCTCGCGGGGGCGTATTAAGGAATAAAGATAATCTACACATGTTCCACACCAGTATTTACATAGTCATAAGTTGTTGTATTCAGTCATAGTCAATACTAGTTTCTCTCCTGTAAACGTTCCTACTTTATCTCTAGATTAGGTTATAACAGCTGGCTATATAAGCCACACCAATGTACGCTATCAGTGAACAAATCAATACATAATCAGAAGCATTACTTTATATAAGTCACCATTCAAACTCTCACTAAATTGTGTGTTTCGCATTCCTAATGTGTAAACTGATTTCATATAACATTTAGCCCATTTTTCCCTTTTTTCATAAATACTCTTCCACCATCGATTTTATTTGAGTTTGTAGTAACCAGTTATTGCTTCTTAAGATTCTTCAAACTTTTGTTCATTTTCATATTCGTACATGCATTTTTTAAAATCTTTCAAAGGACTACAATCATAATTCACGATATTCCCAACATGTTTTACAACATTTTTACATTATGTGCCAAATCGACAACCCATGATGTACATTTGGCTTAACATTATGTAATGCATTTGCCATTGTCTGGTCTTGATCAGTTAAAAGAGTAATCGACTCTTTTTGGTCGTGTGTTTCTAAGAATGTTCTAAATAGTCATTCAAAAGACTCGGTAGTTTCATCATAGAGTAAAGAAACTCCAAAAGTAACTATTCTTCTATGGTGATTAAAACCAATAAATATAACAAGAGATCATATATAATTTACATCTGTGATTAGCAATTAGTCCTTGTCTAGACTCTTGGACATTTAGTGTGACAATCTCATATAACTAGTTTTTGAACACCCACTTTGCTACATATGAATCTTGTAGAAGATGTATGTCCATTACTTTTGTTTGTATTAATCCAGTGCTTACGAACATGAAAAACAATACGTGCACCATAGTTTATCCAAAACTGCCATGCATTTTTTACTATATCAAATCCCATTATGATACGAGGCTCACAGCGAAAATTGGAATGCATTTTCATAATGTATTTCAGTAATGGGCTAAGTTCAATTAAGAAAAGGAATAGTTAAGACACTATAATTAGCAACAATTATATAATAACAATCAACAACAATGATAAAACATATGTACATACCTTGTTGTCAAATTCTTATCCATGTGATCTATAATAGTTATGATCCAAAATTGTATGAATTGTAGTGAGATGTGGAAAAAAAAGAATTGAAGAAGATAATAATTTGGAGGGAAAATGGACTAATAAATTAGAGGGAATAAATAACCAAATAAATTGGAGGGAATAAATAACCAAAGAAATTAGATAAGTATTAACCTATGATTTGATCTAATGGCTAATAATTTGGAGGGAAAATGGACTAATAAAGTTACTTATCTAATTTATTTAGGGGAAAGAAATTACATCAATTAATAAAATAAAAAAATTAATTAAGTTTTAATATTAACTTTTGATTTAATCTAATGGCTAATAGATGTCTAACTTGACTATTCAAGTTATTCTCATCTTTAGAGAATACTTAGCCTAGTCATACCTGCCTCTTGTTATATCCCTACACTTCTCTCTCATATACACACATCTATGTTTTCTGCCTCATCTTCAACCACCATTGAACCCCTCCTATCCTTTTCTTCCCCAAACTAATAAACCTGAAATCTGAATCAAACCTACACCTCAAAAATTAAATCCTAATCAAACCTAACCAAACCCTAAATCTATAAATTGTAACCTATAGGTGTCAGCAGAGAAACCAAGTTAGGTGGTCACCCTAAATCTTATTGCTGTCTAAGAACTTCAAAATTATCGATGCCTTAGGTGGTCACCCTGAATCTTGTTGTCTAAGAACTTGAAATATTAAACCATAATTTTGTGTACCACCACTAGACTGAAGAATCTGATACTTGAATTACGAGATCGTTGAGGAAAGGAATCTTTACGGGAAACTTCAATATTGGATTCTCTCTGAGGGTTGTTTTAAGATCAGAGATAAAACTTTTAAGGTTGAATCTTTGACTTCTGATGGCTTCTTGATGGTTGTCGCAATATGGTCACCGGAGGTTGTTGACATAGGATGTGAGAGATACAAAGAGAAAGAACTGATGCACCATCAATGAGGGTTTCCATATTGTCGATCAATGGTTTTTCGATTAAAGTGAGAAGACGGAAGAAGGTTTCACCATTAGTGGGCAACGGAGAATGGAGTGTTTGAGGTGGCTGTGTCATAAAATTTGGGTGTTCCATCACTACCACCTCTCAATTTTAAGATGACCCCAATAGTTGTGTAGGTGGTGTTCGAAGGGGGTGGTTTTCGGCCGATGTGTATAGGAGGGTGACAATGTATAGGTGGAGACGACAACGAAGGTGTGAAGATAGTGGTGTGATCGGAGAATATACATTTTTTTAGAAACCCCATTTTTTGTGTAGGTGTTGTTCGAAGGGGTTGGTTACAGATGACCCATCTCTCTAGAAGAGGAACTGATGAAGTATTTGTGGGTGGGGTTAGGGTAGAGGATAAATATTTGTGGTGGTGGGTTTATTTTTTGTTTATCTTCATTTCTTATTTTTCAAATCAAAACATATATCAAAAAGAAAGCGAAATGGTAAAATAGTCACTGTGTTCCTTAGGGGTTGTCCGAGTGAGAAAAAAAATTATTATAGAGACGGTCCGAGTGAATTTTTTAAAATAAGGACTAAATGCGTAATTTTCAATCCGAATTAATTTTTTAAAATAAGGACTAAATGTGCAATTTAACATTTGGATGAGAGAAGAATGATGTAATTTACTCGAATATTTATCATTGACAAGATATGAATCATCTATAAAAATAGAAATATTGTTAATTATACACAAGAAGGAAATATATTAAACATAGTATTAATAAAATGGTAAATTTTGTATTAATGAAACCATTACAAAGCGTTTGAAGTTATATTTAATCCTCTCTCAATTATGCAGATTGTAGTCATCTAATCAGACATTCCTTGTTTCTCATGGGTGAGATTGGAGGAAACGATTACAACCATGCTTTACTTGCTGGGAAATCCATCGATGATGTTAAAACATATGTTCCATTTGTTGTTGAGGCCATTATCTCAGCGATTAATGTAAGAATATACACAAGATGAGTGTATTGGTTTCGCTTGATTTTTTTTTTGTATAACCAACCACAAGAATTATCATAATAGTAGCTTAACTTCATACTCAAAATGAAAAAACAGGAGCTTGTTGAGCTGGGGGCCAAGACAATACTTGTACCAGGAAACCTACCAATTGGATGCTCTGCAACATATTTAACATTGTACAATAGCTTTGATTCTATAGAATATGATAACTTAACTGGTTGTCTTATAAAATTTAACAAGTTTGCAGAGTACCACAATAAACATCTTTTAACAAAATTAAAACAACTTCGAGAGCTTCATCCTTATCCCAATATCATCTATGCTGACTATTACAATGCAGCCATGCAATTTTTTTGCTCCCCAGAAAAATATGGTACATCACATGCATATCTCTATTATACATGGATAAATGATATGATATTAACGCATGTAGATAAAATGATTTACATGAACTTGAATAGTACTAACAAGATTTTGAAATGTTATAGGATTCAAAAATGGAGCTTTAAAAGCATGTTGCGGAGGTGGAGGGACATTTAACTACAACGCTGCCATACTATGTGCAAACCCAACATCAACCATTTGTTCTAAACCAGATACATATGCTAATTGGGATGGATTACACTTAACGGAAGCAGCATATAAAGTTATTAGCAAGAGCTTACTGCAAGGACCATACACGGTGCCCCAATTCAACTCTTTTTTCCCTTCTTTAATGTTAAATGAGGGAGATGGATTATCAAGTTTTCTGTAAGTGGCAGGAAATTTGTTAATCTTTATTCATGCCACAAATACAAGTAATTAAACATACATGGAATGTTTATAATATGTATTGTGATCAATTAAAACTCTATGAATTGTTTTATCAAACATATATTTGCATAAAATTAAAACATCATATATATCATACATTTATCCATAAATTTCACTAATAACTTATTACCCAAATCTCTAATATCATTGTATTATTGTTTTTTTATGGAATAGTAGTAAATAAACAATGGATTGTTATTTGTTGCTATTATTTTCAGAGCTTTTATTGTTGAAAAATTGGTTATGTTGGCGTAGGGTTATGTGAAGATGAGATACACATAGATATGGTTGAAAAACAAAGAAGCAAAACTAATTTTTTCACCCGTTGCTACTTATCATCACTTCAAATTTATTTTGTTTGAATAAAAATATTATTTATTAGATAAATAAAAATAAAAATATGAAATTAAATAAAATTAAAAAAAATATTTCATCAATACTTATCCCTAAATGTTTTTTTCATATCTAGTGTTATTAGGAGGTCGACTTCCCTAAATCATTCGTTTTCGTTCCAAGGATTTCTAAATCTATCTTTTCTTTTTGCAATGCTACATAGATGTTCGTCCATTTTAATTAGTTGTTGTAAGTGATGGGTTTTGGTTATAAGACATCCTATGTGCTCATACAAACCCTAATGCTTGGATCTAGGTTTCTCTATTGTACATGCTTTGAATCCAAGACTATAAACCCTAATTCTAGCATTCAAGTAATCATATTAATATGTAATTAGGTTTAAGATCATACCTTGATTGTTATGTAGCAATAACAATCCCAAATCTCCTTGTAATGACTTTGGAAGGCTTATAGTCACAAGTGTCACTCCTCTAATGGTTCACAAACACCATAAGCAAATGCAGAAGGTATAAAGAGAGAGGAGAGAGGTTAGAATTCGTCCTTAGGACTTCTTGGGAAGGGATACACGAATTCATGTGCCAATGGGTGTTTATATAGGTGTAGAGATAGGGTTTCAGTCATTATCCTTATCTAGTTGCTTATCCACAAAGCAACCCATAAGATAATCCTTGAATCCTTATCATAGTCAAATTCTAAGGCCTTATCACCTCAAATTCGTTCACCCTATATTTAAGATAATCGTTACCTTATTTTGTAACTATCACATAATTACAAATCAGCCCCTCTAGTTTAATTAATTACACTTGATCACAAAATTAATTCCTAATTAATTATTGACCAATATTAATTAAACAAATATGATTTCTCCTTTAATATATTATTCTTATAACATATTAATAAATCATAATATCCTCTCTCTCTTTATTTATTTTTCCAATCAAGTTGCGTTGGTGAAGGCAACCCAAAAGGACCATGCACCATCGGGTCAAGTACATATCAAAATAGTTATGGACTTAGACACTAATCCAACAATAAGTTCTTTTCTAAAACTTTATTCAAAGAACACAATGCAATTCTTCTTGCTCTAATCAGGTGTCAAGGTTCTTTCTGGTCCATACTTGTTTTCTTTTTCGTTAAGGTTGATATGCCAATGTGTGTCCGACATTATTATGCAATGAATGCACTCAGATGTCTTTGACCTTTTAGAGCCACCTATTACATTCAACATCATCCCACTTTGGACAATTTCATAGAATATTAATTGAACATTTTTTATGGGTAATGCCTTCCAATGACTTTCAATTCGATATCGCTCAAGTGAAAAATTCAAGACGATCATGTCATTGACACCACTTTTTTCACTAATGACTTGTTAATAATGTTGAAATTTTCAACCATTCATTTCAAGTCACAAAATTTTGAAGATACATAGTCAGGCACTCCAGTATTCTCGGCTCATTGAATTGTTGAATTAGGCCAATATGCATTCCCAAAAAAACACATGCACGTTGTGAGCTCTCTTTCATGTTATCCTAAAACATGTTGATTTATGCACAACACAATACACACTACAAACAAAATAACATTTAGTCGCAAAAAGTTTTAGTGAAATATTTTCTTGTGATACTATATTATATTTTTAGTGGCACACCAAGAAAAGAAATGATTTTATAAACATGTGTCGTCTTTTGGGGGTAAATTGATTTTAAAAATAGATGTTCAAAGATTATACTTTGAGTTTTTTTCCCAATCTATAGTTGACCATTAGACCAAGGTGTGTTTAGTTTGATTGGTTATGATTTGAATTTGTATTTTGGTTAGTAGGTCAAAATGAAAGTCAATACACTTGATTCTATTATTCAAACATAATTATGTATTTGTTGTTGTTGGAGTGTCTAAACTCATAACTAAATTAATATATACTTGTAATTAAAAAAAAATCCTTTTGGGTTGTCTTCAAAACCAATGATAACTATAAATGACATTAGGAGAGAGAGGAAATGGTTTGTTCATATATTATATGATTAATATATTAATTAGTAATAGAAAACTGATTTATTAATTTATTATGTAATTAATAAATTAATATGAGATCGATAAATAGTTGATTTATTAATTTACATGATTAATAAACTAATATCAAATCAGTAAGACTTAATTTAGAAATAATCAGATTTAATTGAAATTAATTTATGGATCAACTAAAATTGATTAAAAGTGCATGGGATGAATTGTAAGTGTTCAATAGTTGAATAAAAGAAGCAATTCTAGAACCATCCATGGTATGAACGATTCTGGAGGAGGTTCTAGGGTTTTCAGAAGCCTATTAGGTGTAGATAAGAAATGATTTGAAATGGGATGATATAAATTATTTAATTAATTCAAATCTGGATTCATCTACAAGTTACGTAAACTATAAATAGGACTCATTGACTTTTAATTTTTGTTCATGGTATTCCCAAGGAGCATATGAATGAAATTTCTTCGTCAATCCTTTCTATTCTCTTTATTCTAAGGTTTCTAGTGTTTAGAGTGTGAGCCTTACATGCATCTTACTTTTTGTGTTTACTTTCTCAAACTTAAGGAGGGATTCAAAAGTATTGTTTTCTATAGCAACTCAACGATATGTAACCCTAATCTTATGATTTTCAATTATAACGTAGGGTTCTAGAAGTTTAGTAGTGTAACACTCATTTCAAGTATCAATTACTTTTTAGGATTTTAGGGTTTCAGACCGGAACTTGACGAGTTCAGGAGCTCCAACTCGTTGAGTAGAGATCATTATGGACGCGGGATTTAGGATCTACTCGACGATTTGGAAGGCCCAACTCGACGAGTAGACATTGTAAAGAGAAACCCTAATTTTTAGGGTTTGTGCCCAATATAAGGAACTTATGGCTCATTGTGGCCTCCTTCATCGTCTTTACAGCCCAAAGAAACCCTAATTCGAGTGTTATACCTTCTTGAGTGTGTGAGAGAGCTTTAGAGAGTGATTTTGGTGTGGTTGTGAAGGAATTTGGAGCTTGAAGAGGTTGGAGTAAAGAGGGATTTAGTAGATCCGACATCTACTTTGTTTTGGCATCCATCTTGAGGTATAGAATTGCTACCTTGACCACTATTTTCTTAGATCTCATCATGTGAAAATATATTTTCACTTTTGGTGCATAATGGTGTCATTCTTGGGTTTGAACTGGTCATGAAGATATGGTTTCAGATATGGATACCTCTAGGACTCCATGGAAATAAAGTTTCCCACTTTATCTAGTCTAGGCCCTTTTCCATGTCCTAAACCTTTTATGAACCTTAGTTATAGTGTTTTAGCCTTTTAAGGCCTTGCATGCATGTAAAGTTTGCAACTTTACGTGGTAACTACACCATAAGGGGTTTGATCTATAGTTTGGAGCCTTGGATTTGACTGGAAAGGACATAATATGAAAAGGGCTGAAGGAACTCGATGAGTTGCTTAGCCAACTCGGCGAGTTGGATAGGGTTTACCCGTTTTCGGGATTCTAAATGATCTTGGTGAGTTGAATAGAGTTTTCGGTCTCCTGGACACTAAAGAACTCCACGAGTTACTCAGGTAACTCAACGAGTGGACTTGAGATTTCAGTTTTATGGACACTGAAGGAAATCAATGAGTTGCTGGATGCACCCGACGAGTTAGGGTCAACATGGACTGTGGACCTAGACAGTTGACTTGGACTTTTACCAAGGTTGACCAAGTTCGACTTTGAAGGTATTGTTGGTATCTCAAGATTTTGAAAAAATAGTCACATGGTGATTGTAGGCGGTTGAGTTGGAGCAGCAAGTTGGGATTGAATTTATTAGTTAAACATTTGTTTAGAGGTGAGTCTCCTCACCATACCAATGGGTCGAAGGCACCAAGGCTAGCCCATTTTGCGTTATGTGATACACTAGTAATGTAGTGCTATGCGTTATACTAGTTGGTTACATGCTATATGGTATACTAGTTAGTTACGTGCTATATGGTATACTAGTTGTTGGGATTGGACGAGGAACTCTGGAGCTGCATTATTGGAATAGCTCGACCTCCATCAAATGTACATATTATTAGATCATCTAGATCAACACCTACTGTTACTGAACAATCCACCAGGCTGAAGAACATTGAAAAACGTTGTTTGAGAGAATTGCGAGGTGCATTACCACTTGTAGTTTACAATTAAATTCGTGGTGTTAAAACTACAAAGGAAATATGGAACACTCTTAAGGAAAAATATCAGGGAAGCGAGAAAATGAAGATAAATCGTGTTAAGCAGTGTCTTCTGGAGCTGAAAGAGTTCAAACAAAAAGAGAATGAAACGATTAAAGTTTACTATGATCGTCTTAATGAACTAATCTATAGATGCAATCTTTATGGAATTGCAACGTCATTTATAGAGTTTAATCTCACTTTTGTGATGTGACTTCGTAAGGAATGGAGGAGTGTTAGCATGATGGTGAAGAATCAACAAAGCTTCGATACTTCATCTCTGAATGATTTGTATAATCAGTTGAAGACTCATGAAAGTGAAGTGAATGAGATGGCTGAAGAGTCAAAACTTGTCTTGGGATGTCCTTTAACTC